TAGCTCAGCGTTCCTCCTGCCTCAGAGGGGTGCTGTTCTGGCTTTAGTTGTCTAATGCTCTGCTGCTGCACAGGAACATCTCAAGCATCCAAACACCTCTCTGTATCCTAATTACATTGGCATAACAAGGTGGCAAAGGAGAAGGTGTGAGGAAGGATGACCACTGTGGGAATCATATCAGTAGCAAAATATAGAGACTATCAGCATTACCCTGCAGTGCTGGGTTTTATATGTCTGCTACAGACAGCTCTAAGAGGGAAGGGAAACCTTCCAGAAAGAAGCGGGGCCTAATGCAGACACCTGCTGTCCTGTGTTTTCTGTTTGTAGATTATCAGGTGGTGGATTATCAGCTGGTGGTGACAAGCTGGAAGCTGAGCATCAACAATTGATAAAAGACTTATTAAGCACATTTCTGTGTTACCAGCAGGCAACTGGGTGGGTTGCCTTTCAGCATTATTCTGTATTGATACATCCATCAGTGCTGACCTTCACAAGTTGGCATGATGGAAGAGATGGCGGCATGGCCTAGATAAGCACCTATATGCCAGGAGTAGAACCTCACAGCTGCACAGTGGCTGTTTTGAGACTGAGAACTCTGTTGAGGACTGGCATTTCTTGCATAAACAAACCATCTTGCAGGCAGGCACTGGGGCCCTGTTGGAAAACAAGATAATTGAAAAGATAAGGTACCCACATGGTCTTGAAAGAGTTGGGTTTATGAAGAATACACAGCTTCATCAAGGAGATGTTGTGGGTTGAAGCATGTTTGAGCTGGTAACAACAAAAAGAGAGGTGGGCCCCAATGCCTGGGTAAACACCTGAGATCACTGTGCTCCTAAGGCAAGGTCTTGGAGCTGAAAGTTCTGCAGTAGAGAGAGGCAGAACAGCAAGCTCTGCTCAAAATGCTTTAATTAAACCACAGAGGGGAGTGGGTGAAGACAGATGTTTCTCAGTAAGATCTCACAGGACCTGGCTGAGGCATTCCAGTGGGCAGCAGTTCCTTCAGCCAGGAGCTCTCTCCTGAGTGCCAGCTGTTGGCACATTCCTTCAAAGGAGAAGTCAAAAGTGTTGCAAAAGAAAACAAAACAGAAAGTACTTAAAACATGGGATGAGGATGGATTTACCACAGATGTTTCCCTCGGCAGAATGCCCTGAATGCTCTGGTGAGCAGCTCACTGCCCAGGAGACTTTGAAGGTCAGGAGGGAGCACGAGCCGGCAGCCTGCCCTCACATCCTCGTGGCCCTCCCACCATGGCGGCCCACCACCACCCTTGCCTCAGCACAGCCCTGGCCTCGGGGACCCTGTTCTGCCAAGGCAGAGAGCCCAGTCTGGCTGGGCAGGACTTCTGCATGGCCTCAATGGAGTTTTTTTCATGCTCTTATTATTTTTTAAGCATTAAATTGATTTAATATGAACAGAGGCACAGAGAGCAAATGATTTCTCGGCAGAAATGCTCTGAGTTCCTGCTTGTTTCCAGCTGTTCCCTGCTGTGGGCAAAAGGGTGCCAGAAGGTACAAGAAGGAGGTTTTTGAAGCTAATTCTTTACTGGTTTATAGACTTTCAAGAATTTCTACCTGTCAGGTTTGATAAGAAAACCTGGCACTTCAATGAAAGCAATTAGCACAGCTTCTATGATGTGTTACTAAGTGATTGTGCAATTATTTATTTCCTGTAAAGCGACAGACCACTAAAAAGGGCTTTGTGTTTTCTGTCTGTAGATTATCAGGGTGGATGCAGTCACCAGGAGGATGGCAAGTAGGTGTGGGAGCACTACAAAGCCTTTCCCTACAACAATAAGAGGACATGCACTTCTCCCCATCTTGTCTGCTGTCCTCTACATTGTCCCTTGATTTTATTCAGCGATGATTAATCATGATGATGATACCTGGAGCCATGTTTGCATTGGTGTTAGCTCTTACCTCAGAGAGAGACAAACGTACCCTGTGTTAAAAGCATGGTATGCTGGGTAGACAAGGGAACAGACCATGGATGGACTCGTGTATCTGCTCTATTGGGCAGACTTGCAGGTGGAGGTGTCTGTTCACTATTTAAGATGACAATGAAAGAAATAGCAAGGCTCCATTTGCCTCCACTTAGAGGTTTCCTTTCCAGCTTACATTGCTTCCTGCCAGGTTTGAAATCAAACCCTTTTGTATGCAGGAATAATTCAGTCCACCTCAAACCAGTTCCATTCCACTCTGCAGATGAAATATGAGAACTACTAAAAATAATCACCAACAGGGCAAGAAATAAATAATCCACCACTTTGTACAGCGAGAAATACTTTCTTACTTGGTCATCAGAAAGTAATTATCTTTGCTGAAACTGTCTATGAGGCTAACAGTGCATATCTGAATTTGTCTTTGCAAAGCAGTGGGCTAGAGACTTTTTGAGGGCTTTTCTGGTACGTCTGTAAGAATAGCACTATATGTAACTATATGTAACTATATGTAACAAGGGAGTGTTTGATAATTTGCACTTTTTTTTCTGGAACTCCTGAATACTTCATACTTTTTTCAAGGCCAGCGTTGAATTGTTACAACTCTTGGAAGCACTGTGAAAGAAAAAGGATGAAGGATAAAGAATGAACAGAAAGCAAACTGTTTAAAATGTTTTAGTCTAAGCAAATACGTAAAATCTTTGAGTACCTGTGAGCCAGAAAATGAAGTAGAAAGGAAAATTGTACATGCTAAATACTATTTAGCTTAAAGTTGGAACAACTAGTGTTTTTGAGAATGAGCCACAACATTTGAATGAGGTTCTTCCTTTGAAAGAATACCTGTTATGTAAGGGAAAAAGAGGTGCTTTAAGGTCTTGGAGAAATTATTTAAATTGTTATGAAAATCCAAATACATCCCAAGGACTTTTAGATGAAAAAAAAGAAAGAAAACAAAACAAAACAAAACAAAACAAAACAAAAAAAAAAAAAAAAAAAAAAAAAAAAAAAAAAAAAAAAAAAAAAGTGATAAAAAACCAACTCCTAAGTCCTCTCAGCACAGTGATAAAGTGAGGAAAATCTCTACTGGAGAAAACAAGATTGCCAGAGGCAATCCTAAACCTAAAGTCAGTCTTGACACTTAGGATGTTAATGCAAGAGTTTCTTGAAGCTCAGGTGGAATGAATAGCAAAAAAGAAATTATAGATATCTATTTTCTGCATTCTTTATGGTGTGAATGACTGAACCTCAGCTGGGCTAATTCTTTGTAGTGCTCAGGCAGAAAGCCAGACCTTTCAGGTGGTGAGTTACTGGCAGAACAGGAGGAGTTCTGGCATGCACACAAACAGGGCATTCGTGGGCAGGGGAAAGCCCAGAAAATATTATAGTGCCCAATACTGCTCTCCTACGTGGGCTTTTTAAGCACCAAGATACAAAGCAACCACCAGGAAGGTAGAATGTAGCAATGGGATTCCAAGAACCATGAGAAGGGACAAAGAATGTGGCATACTCTACTCAGCTCACCTGGGATACAGTTTTACCTATCTTACAGGATAGGTTAAATAAATAAATAAAGTATGGAGCTTTGATGTGCATGCACAGTAAAATTAGGATAGAGTTTTAATACCTCTTCTGCTCCATAGTCCTATCAACGTACATCATTCCTCCATCCTCCCTCCCTCCCTCCCTCCCTCATGCTGACTAGTCCTCTAATACTCTGTAGTTTGAGTTCTCGCTGTAATTTTAGTTTTTCTGTTTGAAAATAGTTGGAGCCCTTCTGATTTCCTTGCTTTGTTAGTGCATGGCCCTTCAAGTAAATGCTGCCTGACACAGCCAGGCTTTGGCACAGCACCATTCCTTCCTCTAACAGATTCTGCTTCCCTATGGGATAGATCCTCTACTTCTGCACATCTGCTTAGGTGTCTGAGCTCACTTGAGACCTGATGCTACTGAAAGCTTCTCACCCATCAAATTCATGCTTGCATATCAAGAGATCTCTGTTCATGAGCACAGTGTATGTGAAATGTGTAGAGGGTGCAGATGGGATAAATTTGGATTATCTGAGAACGTTTGGTGTTCTCAAGTGAAAAACAAAACAAAACAAAACCCAACAAGCTAATAATAACGTCATACTTAGAAGCTGAGGTTCTTCCCCAAGAGTCTGTGTCTAAAAATATCCCAAACTAAGATCATTATTCATTCTCTGTGCTGTCGTGAGTCACATAAAAACTCCTGAAAATCCAAGCAGGTATGTGAAATTTAGAATATCTATGGAAGTCAGATTGAACAGAAAAATATTTCCACCTCAAATGCCACAGAGCTGCTGTTCTGCTGTAGCTTTCTGGGATTAAGCTGACATTATGGGTCTCTCGATCTTTTACTTAACTTCGATGGCAACAAATGAGTAACACAAGCTCAAATGGGAATGCCATTCAGCTGGTGCTGGAACGAAACCAAACCCAGCCCTGCAGAAAGCAAGTTCCTTGTAGGAGGGTGGGGCTGCAGAGCAGGAAGGAGCTGTTGTTTCCTGTTCACTTGGTGAGTTGTTCCATTCAGTGTGTCTGGCTAAAAGGAGAGAGTTTGGGAAAGCGAAGGGTGATTTAGAAAGTTTCAAATGCCTTTGTGTTCTTATTGCCTTTAAAGGCTGTATACTGATGAGTTGCAGCAGGAGCAGTCCAGGCTTGCCTGTGCTATAGTGAGATGGGAGGTGTGGGAAGAAGGTTGGTGATCCCTGAGGGATCTGCTGGAGGAACCAAAAACTCGAAGAAGTGTTTATGTAGGAAAAAGACATTGTCTAGTTCAGATAAAAGGCATCAACTCAAATGTGTGTGCTGGTGGCTGTAAGAAAAGAATTTGGTACTCTGAGGAGTCACTCCTCAGTTTTGAGGGACAGCTGGGAGAGAAGCAAATTATATTCTTTCACAAGTTTGGAGCTTTGCACTTTACCCTTGTCATGCAGGTGACCTAGAGATTTATCTTTGCACCATCAAGGTGGCCTTTCATCAGTAAAGATCTATGTATTATTTCTTAAATGAAAGCAAAAATCCTGTCCTTCTTTTACAGGAAGAACCAGCGGGGACTTCTTTTTCCAGCAGCAGGGCTAAATCCACCAGTCTGACGAGGCTGTGCTCAGCTGCAGGGAGGCAACGTCTCCAGGCTCTGGCCCAGGGCCCCAGTTTGGAAAGGACCTCACTGGAAAGTGTTCTACTGAAATCTGGTGCAACTCTGATAAAACGTTCCAGCCCATCCTGTAAAGACTGTTACTGAAAAATCTTGAAATAATCACAGGGGAAACGACAGGAACTCAGGCCTCCCTTCCCACCCAAGCGAGACACTCCCTGTCTCTTTTTCCCTCCAGCCCACTAAGCACGCAAGGATCTGAAGGAAAAGGGCAAGAGTTTCAGCAGCAGGAAATCTGAGCCAGAGCCACAGCAAAGGCTGGCTGAGACGGAGCTGCCCCTGTGCCAGTTCCGAGGCAGGAGGGCAGCAGGCTGCTGAGGTGGGGTTGCAGCAGTGTGTGAAGAGTCCACACTAAACTTGTGGGAGTATGGAAATGTAGGATCAAGTTCAGGGATTGCAGTAGCAGACAAAGGAGGAACAATTCCTTTGGCCTGAGTGACATTTCACTTACATGTGCTAACTGTAAATCTTATCTGGAATCATGAGAGGCTTTAATGTGGTTTTCCTCATGTACGTTTAAGAACACATCCAATTAACAGAAATACAGCAGCTGAAATGCCTGTTTTATAAGAGGGCAGGGCTGAGCAGGTTAAAAATGTATAGGACTGGATTATATTAGTCCCTGTTGATGGGGCTTTCAGCTCTACTGGCCCAATCCACGTATCTCTTCTTTCATCAGTGGATTAGATACAAAGAATCCACTCTCACTATTTTCTTGAGCAGATGAAGCTGTTGTGTTTGATTTTTACCTTGTGGTTTCTAACAAGTCAGTTCCTGGTGAGACAGTCTGAATCGGGCTCTTGTTTGATACCAAGAAGGTAATGAGGCTTAAACTGTACAGACTCTGCATGCTCTTCTATTTGCACGGAGTGGTGATCTGTGGCCATATATAGTGCAGTGCAGTGAAGGTTTTAAGGAGCTGTGTTCCTTGCTCCCTTAGATTCACTGGGGAAAACAAACAAACAAAAACCCTTTAATCTGTGGAATTATACAGTCCAGTGACAGGAGGATACAAATGGGAAGGTTGAGGAGATGAGGTGCCCTCAGCAAGGCTGTTTCAAGGCTTGGTGGCTGGCATGTACCCCCTCCTCCAGGTGTCCTGCTGGACTCTGGTGTCATCAGCTCTAGTCCCAGGCAGCAGCAGGCCACCGGGGCTTGGGTGGGTTTGCTCCCTGTACCTCTGCATGGCTCTGGGATTCATAACGACATTCCAGACTCTGAAGAAAGCATCTAAAGCTTGTTCAGCCTGTATGGAGGAGCTGAAGTTGCCACAGGGCAGGGAAGGGACCGCCAAGGGATCTGGACAGTCATGGGAAAAGCCATGGTGAGGAGGAACAAGCAGGCCTCGCTTCAGTCTGTGGGAGCCTGCACTCACTCTTGGCCTGTAAATGACTTGTGGCAGGCACTGTCATCCCTTGTGAGACACGGTGGGTGGTGCCGGCCACATAAAATACATCTAAATCCCAGTTCAGTCCAGACTGTAAAACGGGCTTAAAGTGAAAACAGATTGAGACCAAGGAAGGAGAGAGCTTCTTAGGCTGCAGACGGCCACCATTCAGCAGCTCCCTCTGGGCCTGTGTCAGCGGGCCACCCTTGCTCCTGAGCCCCGCTTTGCTCCTCGCCCAGTGCAGGAGCTATAATGCAGCTCCTGTTATAACTCGGGCAGTGATGGGCAGCTGCAGCTGGGCCAGGAGCAGAGAGCTTTGCTGGCACCGCTCTGTGCAGTGCCGCTGTCTGCAGCGCTGGGCCAGCGCCTTATGGAGACATTGCCCCTTTTCAGCTGTTCGTTGCCTCTCTGATGCCAGGGATGCCCTCGGATCTGCTGTCAGCTCAGGGCAGGCTCTGCAGGAACGCGCTAATCCCCTGCAGGAAAGTTCCCGTGGCTCAGTTCAAATACCCGGTTTGAACTGGTTAATCTGACCCGGTCGGTCTGTCTGGCGGAGCACCGACACGCTCTGCGCTGCCGCGGGTGAAGGTCGGCTTGAGCTCGAGGGTGGTGACGGAGAGCAGCTGGTTCTGCTGCTTCCAAGAGAGACATCTGCTCACAGCCTTAAAATCATTTAGCCCAAATCCCGTGCAGTTCAGGGCTGTTTCCTGTGTAGCTTTTAGTGCATTTTGTCCTTCCTTAGTTTAAAACAGGATTTCTATTGTTTGTCTGGTGAGGCTAGTAAAAGCTAGGAGGATATTCCTCTTAAATTACTCCTTTATATCTAATTATACACCTGGGTAGACAAGTAGTTTGTCCTGAAGAAGCAGATGGGGTAAATATGGGACTGTGTCTGAATTCTGCAGAGTAACTCACAGATGCCATTTTCAGCACGAGCTGTTTTTGCTGCAGCACTGTTCGTCTTGCTCAGGAGAAATTTCAGGAAGTTGTGCGGAGCAAAAGGTTGCAGCTTGGCTCCTCGTTGTTTTTATTTCTCCTACTCTTACATTAAGCAGAAAAACAAGGGAAAAAATCCTCTCCCTGGGACTCATTCCCATGTTTCTCATGAACTCAGAGTTCCTCTGCCTGGAATCAAACATCTATGAAATGAAAACTGAAGGAAGAAAGAATGCACCGGGGAAAGACCATGTTCAGTGCAGTGCACATTTTTCATGCTGGACTGAAATTTATTTCTCCTAATTCCAAAACATTCAACTTCAGTGCTCAGGAAGATTCACCTAAAACTGTTTTCATATAAAATATAAAAATTAAACTTGGCAGTACTTTTTCAGTCATCTAACGGTAAGTATCCTACATTCACATTTTATGCCACCTGAAAGCAGACTGCTTTGTGAACTGTTTGAAAGGCACTGGTAAAGGAACTCTGTATAGTCCCCTGCATTTGGTTTAAGTAACTTTTCCCCTGCTGTGACTCCTCATTCCTTCTAGCTGCTCTGCTGGTTTATGTGCTCATAGGAATCATTAGACTAAACTCTTTCTGCCAGGTACTGGGTGTATGCTCATTTTAATCGACAGTGTATGACAGTCACTAGACTTCTCATATGTTAGTGGTGAACTCCTTTCTGTTGGCCCTCTGATGGGCTTGGTAGCTCCTGGCAGCAAGGTGGAGTGAAGAGCTAGGGGCAATAGTTCCCTTTTCAGGACCTGGGTATACATCTTGTATTGGAGCACAAGCATTATGGGGATTGGATGAGGGAACTGGGATGGTTCAGTATGGGGAAGAGGAGGCTCAGAGGAGACCTTACCACTCTCTACAACTGTATGAAAGTTGTGGCAAGGTGGGGGTCGGCCTCTTCTCCCATGTAACAGTGATAATATGAGAGGGGATGACCTCAAGTTGCACCAGGGGAGGTTCAGGTTGGACACGGGAACAATTTCTTCTCAGAAGGAGTAGTGAGGCACAGGTTGCCCAGGGAGGTGGTGGAGTCACTGTCCCTGGAGGTGTTCAAGAAATGTGGAGATGTGGCACTGAGGAACATGGATTAGTGGGCATGGTGGAGATGGGCTGATGGTTGGACTAAGTGGTCTTAGTGGTCTTTTCAGTATTTTTGATTCTATGATTCCACATGGGGAGGTAAAGGCAGGAAATTTGGGATATTGCAGACAGAAGTATGGGTGCAATTATTGTTGCTCTAGGTAGAACTTAGCTTCCCATAGATAAATGAGCAACCTAGAGCCTAGGAAACAAATGAGCACATTTTGTATGTGCTGTGTAGGTGCCCAGAATTATCCTTCGCAGCCTGTGCATATCAGGTAGAATTAGTGGTCACATTGAGATGAGCACTGAGAGCATGTGCCCTTCAAGACTGATGTGTTGGAATGCTTTGGATTTACCATGCAAGCGCCGGGTGAGTTCCACACACAAGAAGTATCATCAAGGGGTTGAGATGCACCAGGTTTACTATGCACACATGGTGCAGATTTCATGAACTAAATATGCTGATGTACTGCAGGCTGTCCCCATATTGGCACTCCTCAACACACTGGTACTGGTAGTAACCATGTGGCCATAGAGTGAGTTGAATCAGCTTGCTGGAGTGGCTGACCATGCAGATAAATAAGTACTAGGACTGATAGAGGAGAGGTGATGGGAACAGGCAAGATTGCTCCTTTGCACAGGAGCACATGCTTAGCTCTATAACAGCCCTGACACCACAAGGTCAGTGATTTGGCAGGATTTTTAGCACATCAGATAGCCCACGCAAAATTATGTCTGGGGCTCATTCTTTCATGAAATTGCTGCAGACTTCACATTACAGAGGACAAATTTCTCTACATCTGTCTAGTAAGGGGGACCTAATTGGGACACTGGGACTACTGCAGTTCTAGATAGGGCTGGCTAGGGTGGACTAATCCCTGCATATAACAGAGCAATGATCACCAAGACTACATGGATGGGCATACATGAAGATAGAAATTGCACCGGTATTGAATAGTTCAGTTGCTTGTCTTCAAGGAAAAAGCAGTGTCCAGTCCCTGTAAAAGGATTATATTGATCTCTAATAGCTGCAGCTTACTGACTAAATAAACGTTTCTAGTAACACATTTGCTTCTGTGCTTCACTGCTTACTCAGACAGTGAAGTCCTGGGTCTTGGAGCTTAATCCCTATTGATTTTCTGTCAATTCCTTCTGTGATGACCCCAAATCTTTACTAAACTGTAGCAGATCAGTGTATTTGACATGGCCTTCACTTGTTGTTGGCTCCCCCGGGGAACTTGGAGGCATCATTGGGCTTCTCATCTAGCTGCCACAATCTGCAAATGATGAGTCTTGGTCTGGGACTTTCTGTATGGGGCTCTGGTTTGCTCTGTCTTCAGAAATACTTCTCCTTTAACCTTCTGGGATAATCATTCCATCTGTAAAGTATTGCTTTGCTTCCTGTTGTATTCAATAAACTTTGCTTTAAAGGACTCTTGTTGATACTAACCATCTGTTGTCTGGGGGGGAGGAGAAGACATAGGAAAGACAACTTAAGTTATGAATTGTTGTTCAGAAGTCTCATCTGTAAAATCCTAACATAGAAGCATGCTGAAAAGGGAGAGAACTGGAGTAAGAACTGGGAAAACTTCTGCTTCAGGCATTTGTTTGCTGGCACAGGCCCAGCAGGCACTGCATTAGGCAGCTTGGACTGACAGCTTGTTTTCATGTTTGCAGTGGTACTTCATCTCCTGGCCTGGGACGACATCTGGCTGGCACGTTCTTCTCCACACACCAGGAAGAGGACTCTTGTTAGCTGGTTACTGCAGTTCTCAGCATTAAAACACAGTGAATCAGACTGCAAAGTAGCATGAGACTGATTTAAAAATAATGAGATTTATGTATTGAGTTGAGCTTTGAGTTCTTTTTATTTGCTTTCTGGCTTGGAAACCTTTAGAATGTGTGATGAGTATATTTTTTGCTTTTCATCATGATTGTGAATGTTTTAAAAACACACACACAAAAAGCGAGCAGACAAACGAAACAGAACCTTACCTTATAATTGAGAAACCCTGAATCAATGATTTCGGCTTTCACAATCACATCTGTTGTCAGAAAGTTGCAATAAAAATAGAATAATTGGCAGTATTCTTGCCAAGAACGGACAGGGGACCTGCTGGGACAAAAAAAAGTGGAGAAACTGGAGTGAAGTCTTGTTATCTTCATGAGGCTGCTAGAGTCCAGGAAGAAACAGAGTGGGGTAATACTAATGGGTTCATCTCCAGATTTTGATTACTTTCTCTGAGGCTCCAGCAGCAAAAAAGCAGCAGCAAAAAAGGGGTACTGGATAAATAGAATTCATGGTCTGGATATGGATGCCAAGGTTTAAATGAAATACATCCACTTCAGGTACAACAAGTGTATAACTCAATACCAGCAACAAGTTAGCACTACAAGTATATTAAAATTTGACCTCTGTGTACATGTCTAACAGTTAAAGATCCCTTCCAACACAAGTGTTTCTGTGATACTGTGACTCTGGGCCTCTCAGGCACAAGCCTTAGTTTTTGAGATTTTCATCTGCATTCCCTGCATCCCTCACAGTACACTTTTGCTTATGGTTAACATACTAATGGCCTCCTGAGTCCCTGCTATGTTCCTCTAGAAGGAGGGACTTTAATCTCTCCCACCCTGCCGCCCAGCATTCCATAATCTCATCAGATTATAGTATGCTTGGAGAGAACGCCATCCACAATGGCCTGAATCTGATGGTTTGGTCCTTTAGTGACCATCCATTTTCATGTTCTGTAGCCTCTGAAGGTGCGCATGAGTTTCCCATTGCACGACCACAACTCATTATGCTGTGCTTAGTATCTTCTCATGGTTATTATTCCATCAGCCTTATTAACCCCTGCTGTTCAAACATGGGCAGTTTGGAGAAATGCTGACTGGCTGCAGTTGTCTGGTACAGCAGTTTGCTGCAGAAGGAACTGAGAGAACAGGGACTGTGCAGTCTAGAGAAGGAGATGGAGAGTAGGTATCATCAGTGTCCACAAACACCTGAATGGAACGGGCAAAGAGGACAAAGCTAGGCTCTTTTCAGTGGTGCCCAATGCCAGGTCACGAACTGGAACACAGGAGGTTCTTCTGTGCTGTGTGGATAGCTGAGCACTGGCACAGCTGCCCTGAGGCTGTGGATCTTCTCCTTGGAGATGCTCAGAAGCTGCCTGGCGGTGACCCTGGGCACCCTGCTCTGGGTGTCCCTGCTGGGGCAGGGGTTGGGCCAGATGGATCCAGAGCTTGCTGCCGCCCTCAGCCACTCTGTGATCCGGTGATAAGCTGCCTGCTTTACCCATCCTGTCTGATGCTTGATATCTCTCTTTTACCCTTCCATCTCAGACTCCTGAACACCACTGAAAGCCTCAGTGACGGGCCTCCTGTCCAGCTTCTACTGGAGCTGAGAACAGTTGTAAAAGGCTGTGGATTTAGGAAGGACTTTAACACAGCAATATTGGACTTTTTTTCGACTCTCCCATCAATCTTCATTCCTCTCTCCTGTTACATCTCTGTACAAGTCACATTGCCCTATGGGCAGCTCAGCCCCTGAGCTCCTTACAGCTTTGCTACCGTGCCTGTTTCTCCAATCTTCACCTTGCTGAGTCTGAGCGTTCCTTGAGCAGGGATCTGCCAGCCAAATTATTCTGCTGCATAGAATATAAATCTTCAGGTATGATTGATTGACAGATTCTTCTTAGCTAGCTGTCATGAAAGGCATCCCCTGGTGTTTCAGGTGATAGAGAGGCCTCCTGCCAGTTTCTTCATGTTGAGCTGTACGATTAGTGCAGACCACCTCTGTCCACTGACCAAGCTTGAAGTGCTGTATTTTCTTGGTGCAGGATTTAATGGACTGAACAAAACACAAGTATGGAAATACTGAGAGAAGATGAGAGATGGGAAAGAAAATGGTGAAAATTAGCAACCATTGGAAAAAGGATGTAAGAATGAACTGAACCCAAAAAGCATAGTTGTAGAACAATGGTATTCAGTCTGATATATGGATTACTATGAGGAAATCCACGAAAGATATATTCTACAAGGTCATGTTTATATTGGATTTTAAAAGATCTGGAAAAATTTTAGGGATCAAGAATGTGGAAAAAATAGAAAGCTTTTAAGAATTCATTGATGAAATTACAGGGTAGATCATGGCAGGACAAGGGGAAATGGTTTTAAGTTAAGGGAGGGAAAATTTAGGTTGGATATCAGGGAGAAGTTCTTTACTAAGAGAGTTGTGAGGTGCTGGAACAGGCTGCCCAGAGAGGTCATGGATGCCCCGTCCCTGGAGGTGTTCAAGGCCAGGTTGGATGGGGCCCTGGGCAGCCTGGTCTAGTGTTAGGTATCTCCATATCTCCACATATAATGGTGGCCCTGCATGTAGAAGGGGTGTTGGAGCTTGATGATCATTGAGGTCCCTTCCAATCCAAGATATTCTATCCTATGATTCTATTATTTTATTCTACAGTAAACTGAGAGAGAGCCCATATATTTTGTCATCGAGTACACTGCAAAGCCTGCCATGTGCCAAGAGAGAAAAAAATGTCATCACTGACCACTTGTTCCCTGAGAAGATAAATAGGGAGTTAGTGTCTGTGCCCCCGGGGAGTGCAGGAACCTGGCCTCGGGAGTGCTGGGCACAGCCCTGGGAAATGCCTTTCAAACGTTAGGTGAAGTTCTGGTCCATATCTACCCAGATGTCTTTGTACATTCAACTTTATTGAAGTGTAGAAGTTCTCACACTTGATGGCTCCCCCGTGTAAGTTAATACGCAGATTTTCCTCCAGCTTCGTAGAGAGACACAGCCGTTTACGTGCGCACTGTTTTTCTTCTCCTCGACCTCTGCAAACGCAAACCCTCCCCGCTCTAGCAGCGCCTCCCGCGTCCTCCCCGGCTGCCGCTAGGGGGCAGCACGGCTCTGCTCAACGTGCCCGGCCGCCGCTCTCTGCGCCCCCGGGATCTTCGAGCTTGCTGAAGAATTAGTAATTACTTAACGCAAAATTAATTAAAAAATGTAAACGAGGGATCTCATCTTGTATTACAGCAAATGAAATGAAATAAAATCTGTGGTGGCACACATTAACCTGGAATGTCTCAGAATTCCGGACTGGTTTTGTTCCGTATGCTTCTGGTTCAGGCGAGTTCCGCAGTACGGAACGGAACAGCTCCTTTCCCGGCGGCGGGCGGAAGGCAGCTCGCCCAAAAACTCCCAGCGAGGAGCCGACACCCACCTCAGCTCCGTGCCTGAGAGCCAGAGTACTTCACATTCTTCTGGCAGTTGAGAATCACAACATATGCAGTAGAATCACAGACTGGTTTGCGTTGGAAGGAACCTTTATGATCCTGCAGTTCCAACCCCCTGCTGTAGGCAGGGACACCCCCCCTCTAGACCAGGTTGCTCACAGCCCCATCCAGCCTGGCCTTCAGTGCTTTCAGGAAGGAGGCAGACACAGCTTCACTGGGCAACCTGTTCCAGTGTTTCACCACCCTTACAGTGAATAATTTGCTCCTAATATCTAGTCTAAATTTGTACTCTTCCAGTTTAAAGCCATTTCCCTTTGTCCTCTCACTACCTGCCCTGATAAAAAAAAGTCCCTTTCCAGCTTTCCTGTAGGCCCCTTAAGGCACTGGAAGGCCGCTATAAGGTTCCCCCAGAGCCTTCTCTCAGCCTGTCCTTGCAGGGGAGGTGCTCCAGCCCTCTGATCATCTTTGTGGCCCTCCTCTGGACCTGCTTTAACAGCTCCATATCCTCATGTTAAGGGCTGCAGAACCGGACACAGTACTCCAGATGGGGTCTCACAAGAGCAGAAGAGCAGAGGGGCTGAATCACCTCCCTTGACCTGCTGGTCACCCTTCTCTTGATGTAACCCAGGATGTGGTTGGCCTTCTGGGCTGCAAGTGTGCATTGTTGAGTTTTTCATCAACCGACACTCCCAAATCCTTCTCCTCAAGGCTGCTTTCAAGCCATTCTCCACCCAACCTGTATCTGTGTTTGGGATTGCCCTGACCCAGGTGCAGGAGCTTGCTCTTGGTATTGCTGAACTTCATGAGGTTGGCGTGGGCTCACCTCCCAAGCCTGTCCAGGTCCCTGTGGATGGCATCCCTTCCCTCTAGCACGTCAGTAGGCACTTAATGGAGCATAATGTCAGGTAAAAGAGAACCGAAGTACTAATCATGTACCCAAAGGCTGACATTAGTTCTGGGCTTCACCTGGTGCCTGTGAGAAGGCTGTGCTTGGGCGCTGTCAGCGTAACGAGCGGCTCATTCCTGTTTGTGACACCCTGAAGCCAGAGCACAGCTTGGTGCTAAGAGCCTGTGGAAGAGTCCCAGCGGGCAATGTCACCATTATTCTAGATTGTTGTCTGCTGTAAAAAAGTGGAAATATTTTTAAACATCTGTAGATGATTCAAGGGTAAAGAGTCTTCCATTTAGCATTTAGGATTTATTTCAGTTTATTTCAGTTTTCTCCTTAATAAATACCAAGACAACAGACCAATTAGAAGCTAATTATTATTAATGCATAAACCATATTCACTATAAGTAATTCTCACAGCTGTATGAGAAGACGTATAAGGAGCGACTGAGCTCCCTGTGTTTGCTCAGCCCAGAGCAGAGGAGCCGAGGCGAGGCCTGATGGCGGCTGCAGCTCCTCACAGGGAGCGGAGGGGCAGCGCTGAGCTCTGCTGTGTGTGACAGCGACAGGGCCCGAGGGAACGGCATGGAGCTGCGTCAGGGGAGGGGCGGGAAAAGGGGCTCGGGAAAGGCGCTGCACCAGGGGGCGGTGGGCGCGGAACGGGCTGCCCAGGGCTGTGGGCACGGCGCGGAGCTGCTGGAGTTCAAGGAGCGTTTGGACACTGCTCTCAGACATAGGGGTTGAATTTTGGGACGCCTTTGTGGAGCCAGGAGGTGGACTCAGTGATCCCTGTGGGTCCCTTCCAACTTTGAGTACTCTGTGATTCCATGGTATTAGGCTAATACAAAGCTAACTCGCACTTGACAGAATCGAGGGTAGCAATCCATGCTGTGACATTAATTTAAAGCTGGTTCATGGAGTTAAAGGCAGGCAGAGCTCCCGGATTTTTAGGGCATCTTCTGGACTGCTCTCCTGGTGACCGTGCTGAGGTTCACACCTGGAGGTGGTCCCGCACCCCTGGGCTCAGTAATTGGAGTGCAGCAGCTATGGGAACTGTGGCAGAAGGAGAGGATTTTTTGGTGTCTTGTAGGCAATTAGGGGCCACAGCTCCTCCTGGGAGATAATGAGCACAGTGTGCTGCTTATGCATGATTCCCTGGAAATCTCTGTCTCCTGCACAGACATTACTTCCCTTACCGCATTGTCAAGTAGGAAAGGTCTGTAACTGCATACAGAGGTGTTATAGCACTCTGAAAGAAGCAGGGAGTGTATCAGTTCACTTTATAAAATGCATCAGGCATTTCAGAATGCAGTACGGGGTAACACTAAGAAAAATCTACCAGAGACACCTGGGGATTAGGAAGTGGCACTATGGTATCTGGTTGCTGCAAAGATACAGGGCTGTGGCTTTGTGTACTTGTGCAGCATTGGGTGAGCAATGCTCAAAGTGAAAGGAAGACTGAGTTTTGAGGCAGCATGCTCCACTTCCTGCAGAATTTTTGTTCTTTTGTGAAAGTCTCTTGTCAAATTACTGATACAACCCAGTGAGGATCTCATGTCAGTGTGGTGTAGCTGCAGGCATGGCTCAGTGTCCGATGTCTGAAGGTGTTGCTGCTGCTGCTCCAGCAACAGGCAAAGCCAATCCATCCTGCACAGAGCTCCCTAGGAAGGAGAAATGGGTAAAGCCATTGACTTTAGTGCATGAGGAAAAAACCTTGTTCCTTTACGAGAACCATCATTTATCTGGTTTTCAATGTATAAACTACTCAGATCCTTCCTTCCTTCCTTCCTTCCTTCCTTCCTTCCTTCCTTCCTTCCTTCTGCCTGCCTGCCTGCCTGCCTGCCTGCCTTCTCTCATTCTCTTTTTCTCTCATTCAATTTTGGCTAGTTAACTGTCTAGTTCTTAATTCCTTTCAATTCATCAGAGAATCAGCTGAAAGTACTAAAGCTCTTAAATGCTCTACTACCTACAATAGAGGAGGGTGGATGATGTGAGACTACTGATCTCATCAAATACAGCAGAGTATCAAGGACTGGGAATAATTAAATCCCAATCACAACCATTTCTAGATCAGTCCCAAACACAGACACTACTGCGTCAGCACCATGGAGATACTCAACAACTCCTTGACAAGTACCCCCCTCTCATTGGTGCAAGTCCTGGGATGATGGCCATCCACGACAGCCCTTGATGGCTTCAGGAATCCTGCCTTCAATGTATTTCATGTTTTGAAATTGGGGAGAATCGATTTCCAATCTTTACTCCGGTCACTTTCTGGAGTTTCCAATGTATTTAGGAATAATCACAATGCATTGCCAATTAGAATGTGGACTTCAACATCCTACTCTGTTAACTGCTACAGTTATTTCGCTATAGCTAACTCCTAAATAATTTGCAATCCTCTGTCCCTTTCTGTAAAATTTGATACCAACAAAGTAACTGGAATACAGACAGGCGCCAAAGGATGCAATCCATTTACCAACAGGGTGCTCTGCCCATAAATCGGATGCATGCACAAAGATCTCTGTGCTCATTAAGGGAATGGGGTTTGTTCAAACATAGGAATCCATGTAGGTGCAGGTATGTGGGAGGTGGCCAGGCTTGTGTTCAGGAGGAGGACAGTAATCCCAACAACAGCAGCCGTTACCACAGGTGAGCTGGAGAAAAGCACTATTACACTTTATTTTAGTATGCTACAAAATTCCTTGTTGAATTTTATTAGGTACTTTAATACCAAGCATACTTTAAAGTAACAAAAATTATTGTTGTTATTATTTTTACAGAAAATCGGTTATTCCAACAGTTTTCTTTACAGTTTTTGTTGACTTAAAAAAAAAATTACAGTTGACAAGTTACAATGGAGAGTAATGGGAAAGCAGTTACATTTAAAAAGGTAAAACATACTATTCATACTGAACCAACATTTAGTGATGCATGTCCTTGTAAGTCTCCTGTTTGTGTTCAAATGGTACAGTTTGGTGGAGCTGTCCTTGTTGGGCTGCAGGGACTTGTGATTACACTTTTTGCAACTTCCTGTGGGTTTAGAAAGCACTTTTTCTTCACACAGTCACCATGATGCAAAACTTAGTGCTATATAACCAAAGAATATATGACAGAGAAACCCTGTTTCAGTGATTTCTGTCACAGCAAAAGTTCTGCGACTGCAATAATTGGGATAGAGGTAAACATAAGGAACGAAAGAAGATGGTGATACAACAGCACATCCAGATAGCAGAGCTTCCACAGCCTTTTAAGATGTGTGTGTCTGTGGGCCAACAGGAGCAGTGACTGAAGGCAGGCTTTGCTAAGACACCACTGAATGGGAGCTCCTGAATGCACCCAGCCTTTGGGGGGTGTGTGTCCCACCTGCCACTGGTTGGACTGACCACAAATTTGAAAACCTTTTGGAACTGGGACCTCAGTGATTTCATACAGGCTCATGTACCAATTATCTGTTTGTTTGTTTGTTTTTTCTTTTTGCACTTCAGCACAGCAGCAGGTGCTTGGATTACATTTATGGGGTTGGTTGAGTTGGGTGCCATTTTTGACCAGCTCTAACACCAGTCCTGTAGAGGTCAGGGAGTCTCCTACACACAGTTACAAGAGCAGATTTAGATTAAAACATCATTTATTTATATCTATTTTTAAATGCTCCCTAGATTCACATGTAAATTTATTTGCAGACATCCATCTACATCAGTGTTTGGTTTCTAAAATCAGCAGTGCCACACTGCTACCTTGGTGATTAGATAATTCCTTGAGTTTATTTGCTTGAAGATGATTTTTCAATCAAAGATGAAACTAGTTTTCTGAGATCTATGCACTAAATTCTTGAATACTTTGTGTTGTGCAGCTAATCATTAAAAATCAGCTTTAACTCATGCTTTGCCATGTCTTCAATGTATCACATCGTCTAGGACTGACAATAACAAGCAGTGATGCTTTTAGCCATTTCCTCTGATACTCATGAGAGGACAGGAGGAGGATGGGGCTGCTGCCATGCCATGAGGAGCTGCGTGTGGCACTGGGTGTGATGAGCACAGGCTGCTCTCTGCCTGGTGCTCAGACCCAGGTCTTTCTCAGTACCCTGTGTCTCCATCTGTTTCCTGCTCTGGAAGGAGGGTGCCCGCTGGGCGGCTCCTGCAGACGGGAGCCCTGGGCTCTGCACACCCCTGTGCCCCACTGTCCACAGTGGGCATTTGTTTGCTGTCTCTTCACTGATGCGTGGAGTTAAGGCCATAAAGGACATTTAATCACCGAGCCTGATTGGCAGTAGTGGGGCCAGAGATCTTCCCCTGTAGTTGTGTGGCAGAACAGGGAAAAGAACAGAAATGCCCTTACAGGTACCTTGTACATTTAAAGGGTAAATCGCTTTTTCCTATGAAAAAAGAAATCAAATGCTTATATTTTGTCACTTTAAATGCAAAGAATTCTATGTTGCTTGGGAAATTATAGCATGATGATATTCAGTCAGACATATCTTATACTATGTATGCTTCATAGAACTAGATTATAGGTCAGAAATAATTTCTCAGTTTTAAATTTGTTACAGACATAGATTAATTGGAGCACATATGCCATAAAAATTGAGAAGCATTACAGTTTTAGTCAACTTATTATACACTGAAGTAAATGAAGTGCAGAAATGTAGCATTAAAAGTTTTGCTATTCCACTAGATGATGGAGACATTCAGAGTCTATTTATAAATGCTTATTTAAGAGATGTCCTATCAGCTTCTTGGCTACTGGGATAGGAATAGTCTGGAGTTAACTGCCTCTCTACTGTGAAAGGTTTTAAAGCTTTTTGCTTTCTGTCTGAATAAAAAAAATGACATTTACAAACCTCCTGATGCATATATTTTACATATGTTTGTCTAGCAACAACTACACCCCTTTTAATTTATTCCCCAAATGTGACTTTTCATGCATGTCTTCCGAATGCTGTATTCAGCAACAGTTTCTAATGAGCTGGTGTGTAATCCATGATTGCATTTCTCTTCTAGAAATCCCTTCCACGTCTGGCTGGTCTATGTTAGAAGGTAGCGTTTACCAATCAGGCGGTTTTGCTCTCGTCAGCGTTCTTCTCTCTTGGAGGCCCTTTCCCAAGCTTCTTCCCGTTTTAATGTTGATGTACAAAAGCTGTTGTTCATTTTGTTTTGTGCTCATTCTAGTGAGGATTGGCTTAGAAGGACTGTGCAAAACAGAGAGAAGAGAAAAGTTGGTTTACTGCCAGCCGACATAAAGGCGTTCACACTGCATGCGCTTGGCTCAAGCCAAACATCTGAGCACTATTTGCACACACTTCATTATTGGTATTTCCACTTAGCATGAAAAATGGCAAGTTCAATCTTCAAATATAGAGATGATTTGTAGTCTGGAAGCCTTAAAAATCAGTTTTCATCAGCAAATCAACACAAGAGGTCAAAATAGTGACATTGTTTCATTTAAATTTTGAACGATATGAAAATAAAGACACAATGTGTACGAGACCAGAATCAAATTTGCTGGAGGAGTGCAGCGAACCATGTTATAATCCTGACATCTCTATTCTGTATCAATAAATCTTTCATTCCTCTGAGCACATAATCCGCATTTGTAACCATGATAGAACAATATATGGTGATGCTGTAGGGGATGGTTGTGCTGTGGCTGACCCTGCTAAGCCCTCAGGTGCTGCTGTGCAGGTGCCAGTAAATGCCAAAATGCAACTGCACTGGCGTTTGGCTTTGACCAAAGAGTACAGGTGTAGCTGGCTGGTGCCCAGCCCAAGGGAGAGGAGCAGTACCTTCATCATGCCATTGGACTCATCCTAACACAGTGCCCACTATGGGAGGCTGCTGGGATTTAGAACTTAGGGGAAAACATGGTTCTTTTTCTAAAAACGAAAGAATGAATTTAACCATGGAATGACAGTCAACAAAGTGTTTCAGAACTAGAAGTTCTTCAACATGTTGGAGCAGGAAAACGGATCATTGATTCCCACTGAAGTTAATTCCCTGTGGCCCTGCACACTTGCTTCCTGCATCAACTTCCCATTGATTCTTGAACTGATGTCTTTCAAGCAAAGCTGGTCCTGGCAGGAAAGTTCTGATTCCTTGTAGCCCACCATGTTCAGCATTTATTTATAATCCAGATGTATTTCACACACACACACACACACACACAAAAACAACAACAACAAAAAACCCCAATCTTTTTAATTGATATTGCTGATGCTAGAAACTAGGAAATAAACCATCCAAGAATCATAAGTATTGTTTCTTTTCTTATACAATCCACAGTCGGTGAAACAGAAAGGTGAGGAAAGCCGAAGTTGCATGGTGAGGAGCACATGTCCTTAGATTCCAACGAACAAGGTAAAACTAATAGAACTGAAGGAACCACTTATTTCACTTGCTTTTTAATCATAACATAGTGTGCCTATGTTATGCAAATCCTTAGCAGTGTTCTTTGGATTTCCAGCAATACTCAGTGTTTGGATGGTAGTAGCGTCTGGGTTGCCAAGCCCTTTATTTATTCTTTTGACAAATTTTGCATACAGGTGTTACACACACAGAAATGTCATTTAGTAACTACCAGAGGTGCCTAGCTGATAAAGTGGAAATAAGTCATTCACATCCAACATCTCTCAGTCTGACTTGTATTACCCCATGGCCTCTTGATTGACTCCTTGCTGCTGCCTAGAAATCAGGTAATGAAAGCCATCTATGTGAAAGCCCCATTGCCCAAACCATCCAGGCACTGTGCTATTAAATTCTCTGTCTAAGGCTGTGAGGGGCTGCCTGTTGGGCTGACATCCTGGCAGGGCGTTGTTACTCGTATTTGAGATGCTCTCTTAGGGAAGGCACTCCTGCTGATGGCAGATCTGGGTTACATTCACCCTGCGAGGGATTTACAGCATTTTAGTGTTCAGGTGAACATTCAGGGAGAGGACACTGCTATTTCTTTGTTTTGAAGATAAAAACGGACATTAAGATTTTGTGGTTGCTCCCTCCCAAGGTGCAGAACACTGGATTTCATGGAGTCAGTTACATGCCATTACCTTAAAGCCTGTTGGATAGTAAGTATATGGAGGAAGGCACCTTCCAGGTCAGAATACAATTTCTCTACAGCAGGCTTAACACTTCACCCCATTAATCATCATCAGCTACATTTAAACAATCTCCTTGCTGTTTATTTGACTGGTACTCTAGAAAATAGCAACTTTCTGAGCATTCATCTTTTATTGCTGTCTCCAAATACAATCAATTACTGTGATCTCCTGAGCTAATGAGCAGCTGAATGGACCAGAGGTTTCTCCCAGCACCTCCACAGTGTTCCTCCAACCCACAGAGAAACATTTTCTATCTCTGGGAGGCTGGCATGGTGTTTGGTGTCTGGTAGCAGATGGAGGAATCTTCTTTCTTTGAAAATAATCCCTTCAATGTACATGATAAAAGTTATTTGGGTGGTCTGAGAGAACGATTTTATTTTTCTAGTGTCGAAGAGGAAGACACAGATGTGTGTCCTCCTTGGCTTACCTGTTGTGGATGCCTTGTCCTGCACAGTGCATGGAGCACCCTTTGCCCTGGCCTCATTGCATGTTCTTATGCATTACCCTGAGAGCCACCCTGGGGCAAATACCATGCTGTGTAAACAGTCAGGCATCAACTCAGGTTCCTCTCCAAAGTCATAAGTGTCCTGGTGTCAAAGCCAAAATCCTAATATGGGCTTTTTGGAGATGCATCCCATAGACAATGCTGTCTAAATTTCCCAGAGAGTTGTGGGAAATGGTTTAGAAGTATTCAAGAATTTTCTAAATGCTCTGAATGAAAGAATGCCCAGTCTGTTTTGCCCACAGGAGACTCACTCAGTTCACGGCTGCACAAGGGCTTTTCTAGCATCCAAGAAGAGAGTTCCAGGGCCACAGGGAGATAATGGTGGAAATGAACCACTAAACCAAAAGAATGACATCTTATAAGAGACCTTTTTCCAGGAAGAAGTAGAAAAATGGATAAAGAGAATCCAGTCAGAATACTTTCGCTGACCTCTTGGTATCTGTGTACTACTTACAGCCATAAACAACTCATACGCTGTCAGTCACAAGGAGGAACCCTGTGCATTGCAGGCACACTGCAGACCTAAAGCTGCACTCCATGCTCCCAGTGCCTGCCTTGTAATTTCAAAATCCAATCTATTCTTACACTGTATTTTATTTTATCTTTTTCTGCTGCTATATGTAGAGAATGACACAAAGCAGGAGAAAAGTGCTGTGGGTGCAGAGAGGTTGTTTGGTTGCAGGCAGCGTGCTCTGTTTGCTGTGGGGGGAGGTGGAGGAGAAGAATGAGATACATTATTATTTTCTGGCTTTCTTTTAATTTTGAATATGTTTTCTGTGTTTTGAAGCTGTTATGGTAAGAAAAAAAAAGTTTCAAGAAAAAATGTGATTTTTAAGAGAAATTCATTTGGAAAAAAAAAGAAAAAAAAAAAAAGAATGGAACAAAGAAGTCTGATAATCTTGTGCCAAAGTGTGAAAGGAGAGATATATTGGGAAGTTAGGTCTGGAGCCCAGGGTTCAGCAGTTTCCCTGTTTGAATTCTTGATTTCTTCAAGTTCATTTTCTTTTCCAGATGGAAGAGTTGAGGAAGGTGAGGAGCAAGTTTGGGTGGAGAAAGAAGATGGAAGATAGGAGGTGGGATGTGGGCTTGGAACAATATCTCACATAACACCAGCTCTCAGAATGAGGCATTTGGGCAGGCATGGGAAACTGATTCCATCCTCTGATGGTTCCTAGCACTGGTGAGCACCTGTGGGGTCCTACAGTGCTGCAGACCATGAGAGGAGACTGGAGTCCTATATCTGAGATGGACAGAGTGAGATGTGGGAATCCTGGACGATGGGATTTATAATTGTCCTGTGTGGTAACTAACAGCATGCATGGAAACGTGAAGAGAGAAACTACTGCCCATGCAGTGATGATCTTTATCCTGAAATATCAAATTATTAGGCAATTGCAGATTAGTTGTTTGTAGGAGGTTGTCAGAGAACTCATGTCAGCACAGCTTGAGGGCTGGTATTTTTAGTCCTGTTGGGGCGTGAGGCTGACTCTCAGGGCTGCTTTCACAGAGCAAGAATGGCTTTGCCGGAGGTGAGCTTGAGGCTTCACCTCCACAACAGTTGGACTAGACTATTTTAGTGGTCTTTTCCAACTGTAACGATTCTACAATTCTACAATCCTAGGAGGGCTGAATTCAAAGGATGAGAAGCACAGCTTAGGGGCTGGTGGGCCTGCAGGTGTGCGGGGAGGGGGCTGGGTAGGTGAGGCATGAGTCAGCCTCACTGTAGAGAAATCTGTTCTTATAGTTGTATGGAGCTTATGTTCCAATTTGTGCCATTGCCCCTTGTTCTGTTGCTGGGCACCACCGAAAAGAGCATGGTCCCATTTTCTTGACACACGCTTTTTACATATTCATAAGTGTTGATAAGATCTTCTTAATCTTCTCCAGGCTGAACAGTCCCAGGTCTCTCAGCCTTTCCTCATACATGAGATACTCTAGGCCCTCAGTCATCTTCATGACCCTCCAATGGATTCCTTCCAGCAGTTCCTTGTCTTTCTTGAACTGGGGAGCCCAGGACTGGATACAGCACTCCAGCTGTGGCCTCACCAGGACAGAGTAGATGGGGAGAATCACCTTCCTCAACCTGCTGGCCACACACTCTTTCAAATGCATCCCAGGAAACCATTGGCCTTGTTGGCTACAAGGGCACACTGCAGGCTCATGACCAACCTGCTCTCCATCAGAACCCCCAAGTCCTTCTCCAGAGAGCTCCTCTGCAGCAGATCAGTCCCTAACCTGTTATGATGCATGCAGTTGCCCTTCTCTGCATCCCATGGTGCAGGACTGTACACTTGCCCCTGCTGAACCTCGTCAGGTTCCTCTCTGCCCAACTCTCATGTCTGAGCAGGTGGAGTTTGACTGCACTTTTTCAGTGCCAGTGTTAGTTTAAAGAAGGCACCTCATCAGAGCCTGACAGATTTTTTTTTTTCTTTTAACAGGATTCTCTTTCAAATGAACCTAGATAAAACCAGATGGCAATGACAGGCTCTGAAGTCCCAAGTAGGGGCTGATTTCAAGCTTCTTCCGCCAACCTGCCTAATCCCCGGCTCAGGTGGCCTTCTGGTTTGAAAAGTGGCTCCAAAAGTACAACATA